ACTGTTCTTTAAATGTAGCTGGGAAGGTAGCATCAGCTGCCTTGCAGTGGATTGGGTACAAGTGTGATTCATGCTTTCAATTGCACGCTTGTGATCAATGGGCAACATTTTTTCTCAAACGGGGATAGATGGTTGAGTTTCAAAATCGGTAAAGCTCTTCTTAGCTTGTCAGGGGAACATTGTGTCACTAAACTCCCTCTGATGGAGCACCTGATGCTTTTGATTAGACTGATGAAATAATTCCAGTCTTCCTGTGGTGCTTCTTTGCTTTTGTTTGTGACATTCCTACTGGTTTTTGTTTTTTTTAAAGGAAAAATCCTAAGTGATGTGTAGAACGTTCATTTTGAGATGCATTTTTTTTTCTATGAAAAGTGCTTACCGTCCTGAAGTTCAGGAATCAGTTATGTCTTTGGAGATGAAAACATATGAAGAACAGTTGCAGGAACTGGGTATGTCTAGTCTAGAGAAAAGAAGGACTGGGGGTGACATGATAGCAGCATTCCAGTATTTGAGGGGCTTCCACAAAGAAGTAGGGGGAGAACCTACTCTGCAAAGCACCAGAAGGCAAGACAAGAAGCAACGGATGGAAACTCATCAAGGAGAGAAGCAACCTGGAAACTTCCTAACAGTGAGAACAATTGATCAGTGGAACAGAAGTTGCCTTCAGAAGTTGTGGGTGCTTCATCCCTGCAGGCTTTTAAGAATAGCCCCTTGTCTGAAATTGTACAGGGTGTCCTTCTTGAGCAGGGGTTGGACTAGAAGACCTCCAAGATCCCTTCCAGCTCTATTCTGAGTGATTGTCTGGCTCCCTAGTCCTTAAAGATACACTAAAGATTGGGCTTGGTACAGGATTAAGTTAGGAGCCCTCTGCTTTGCTTGTTAAGTGGCCAAGGGTTGGACGCAACTGAGTGGCTGAGGTGTGCGCTGTCAATTCTGGTGCCTGCTGATTGTTTTAGAATGACCTCTTTGTTCTCAGTTTAAATCCTTGTTGGTTTAAATGATTCTGCTTTCAAAGGTAAAATATTTTATCTAGAAAAAAGCCTTGAAGTTGCATCCACAACTTCTTGGTATGATTTGTTCTAGTTTAGTAGTTGATCTGCCTCTGAGCGTCAAATGCATACGGTTAGTTAGTCCTGACTTATGACCGGTCACTTACTTAAGACAAACCTGGCTCCACAACCCAGTTCGGAAGTTATGAGTCGGACCTGCCTCCCAAGGTCATGCTAACTAAACTCTTGAGCAAATGCTGAGCACTGGCTGTTTTTAATTTTATTCATTTAAATTCCTGCAAAATACATTTTTGAAATTATAATTCATTCTGTCCACCTAGCATTGCCAACAGAAAAACTGAAAAAGGAACTAAGGGAGTGTTATATTCTAAACAGTGCCTAAAAAGGCTTGAGGTAGTTGGTCTAAATAATTCTGACTTCCTAATATAAAAATCCAACCATTCAGTACACCATATGCTGTAAGATGTAAGTTTTCCCTTACCACACATGCAGCAGGAAGGGGAAATACACAAGAGTTTCACTTGACCAATGACATTCTAGCTTCAGTTCTGTATTTCATATATTATCTTTGTGAAAACAATTTGAACAGGCTTGTTGAATTCCATACAGTATTTTACACCATACAGTATATGGTGTACAATACTGTAGTTAAGAACTATTCCATAGGCTTCTATGGTACTCAGTAAATTGTGCTTCATAGCAACAGCACTTAAACTTATATACCACTTCACAGTGCTTTCCAGCCTTCTCTAAGCGGTTCACAGAGCCAGTCTCTTGCCCCCAATAATCTGGGTCCTCATTTCATCGACCTCGGAAGGATGGAAAGCGGAGTCAACCCTGAGCTGGTCAGAATCGAACTCCTGGCAGTGGGCAGAGTCAGCCTGCAATACTGCATTCTGACCACTGCGCAACCAGGGCTTCATGGGTAACGTTGTAGGAGATGACTAGGCTGAGCCCGAGGGAGTGGTCAAATGTGTCATCACTCATGAGTCCCTGCGTGCCTCCAGGCAAGAGATCTAAGTCTAGCCCACCCTGAATGCCTTCCTTATCTCTCGCTCATTTTCCTTGATTTTTCGGTTGGCCAGATTTTTGTAGAGAGCTTAAGCTTGTAATACACTTTTATACTTATTCGAACTGCCTGAATCTCCTGATTTCCCCGGCCCTTATTATTATGGAACTCATTTCATAATAATTGTCAAGTGCTGGGGAAATACTTCATATCTAAGGAACAAACTTTCCAGCTTGAGTTGCTTTTGCTTTCTGCTTTCTACCTTCGTCTTGTTGATCCCAACAGAGAACTGCATGATCGATACTATGATTGAGACGTGCAACAAGCAGAACACCTGGAAGGTGCCTCTTTTTGCAGGACCTCTTGCCACCTCTGCAGTATGAGAAGTGTTTGGAAAAATCATTTGCCGAAATTTCAGTGTCTGTTCTCAGAAGAATAAAAAGCCTGCACTGCCTTCTTGTCCGATAATGCACTGGATCCACAGGCTTTTCAGAAATTTGAGCTCATCATTGCAAAGAAAGGGTTAACCAAAGGGAACGACAGATAACACAGGGATTTGGGGAGAAATATTTGGAGACTGTGCCATCTTCATCTCCCAAGGATCCTTCCCTGGAAAACTTCCATATTAAAGGCTGTTTCTACAGCTATAGCAATATAATTATTGGGCCTCTGAATATGTGTCATTGTTTATTCACATTGCTCAGGACTAGAATCTCCATTGTGAGCCTCACAGTATATACATACATACATACATACATACATACATGCATACATACATACGTACATACATAAAATGAAACATACCCTTCTGCCGATTAAGGTCTTCTCATTTATTCTGGAAAGTGTAGCATGCACATGAAGTCCTGAAAGAGGGCATTTGTGATTCTGATCAGAATGGCAGAAATGTTACAAAGTAAACAAGTGTAAGATAAACACTACGATCCTGCCTGCATTTAAAATGCAAAGTCTAATAAAGAAACACTGATTGAAAGACACAGAATGATCTACCCTGGTAACATTCTTAGTTCCATATCTAAGATTCGCAGATTAAAAAAAAAGTTTGTTACAAGGACATAGGCATTGTGTATTTTACGGCACAACGTCTAAAAAAGCTACAGAATTTTTGTCTTTCAAACAATAATCCATAAAAAGTTGCAACAGTCAGAGATCCACAACCAATCAACCTCAACAAGCCAAGAGCTGTAATTCCGAATCCTCTAGAGACAGAACGGTAGGCTTAAGTGTGTTTATTTTCCAAAAGCATAATTTAGCGGTTTTAAAATAATTGCTACCTGGGTAATGAGATGGTTATGGATCAGAGGAATCTAGAGGTGAATTAAGAGATGCCGGTATAATGAACTAATTTTATAACGATACACAAATTGTTACAGGAATCCATTTTTTTTCCTGACTGAATAGGGGCCTTGTTGGGACCTTATGTTTTACTAATTAAAACATAAAACGAGGGCACTGAAGTTGTGTGTGGTTGTACTTTGAGATTTGACACACATCTTTTGTATCCTCTCGACTCTGCCCCCAAATGTTTTTGAAAGCAGCCGTAGATCTTCTGAAGTTGAGGGAAGGAGAAAGAGGTTGCGGAAGTCACAGCAAAACCGACACTTTTATTAGAAAAGGTGAAAAGATGCGCAAAAAGCGCCTAAAATATGTCCCATGGTTTAAATCCAGATCTAATTAGAAATCCGCTCTGTTTTCTTAGGAGGCTCTTGGCATTTTCAGAGGGTCCCTTAATCGGTGGATTTTACCGCCTGTCCCAAAATCAAGGCTGGTTAAGCAGAAGGGGGGGGGGTTCTCTGCGGAGGTGGTGGTGGAAGGTGGGACCCCCCCCCCAAGAAGCAGGACTCGTCCTCCCCCACTCTCTCAGGGCGGCTTCTCCGTCTTATTCCGGGGCAGAGGAAATCCAGGCATCCCAAAGGAGGAGGGGAGGGGGGGTCGGCTATCGGGATGGGCACCCAGGAGCAGCTCTAGGTAGGCGGCGGGTCTCCGGGGCCCCCCGACAAGCCCGAGCCGCCTCGCCTTCCCCTGGGAGCCCCGCTGGATAACCCCAAAGGACCCGGGACTCCTCCGGGCTGAGCCTCCCCGCTCGGCCGCCGCCGGGAAGGACGCAGGTTCTCGCCAGCCTCGGCCTTCCGGAGGGTCCTCTTTCGCGTCCGGCGCGCAGCCAAGTTAGCCGCCCCCGCCGCGCGTCTCCCGGCCGGAGAAGACGGGCTGCCCGAGCCGCGGGATCTCCTGGCCCCGAGCCCGGCGGCCGGAAGAGGGCGAGTGCCGGACGCTGCCGCCCAGGAGCCGCTTGGAGGGAGCGCCGCACCTGCCGGCCCAACCGCCCGCTCGCTCGCTCACCTGAGGCGCCGGCGGTCAGCAGCGGGTGGAGGGGGGCGGCGGGTGGGCGGGGCCTGCCCTCTCCTGGGCCCTCCCCCCGCCCGCTGGAGGAGCCGCGGGGGCGGGGCTTGGAGGCGCTGGGCGGGGCCTTACCTGGCGGGACCGGCGCGGCCGCTGCGCTGGGGCTGCGCTGGGCGGGCGGGCAGAGAGGCTGCCGAGGCGGGCACGGACGGGGCGCTCGCTCGCTCCCTGGCTCGCTGCTGCCGGGGCTGGTGCCGTCCTGCTCCCCAGCCCGCGCCACGATGCGGCTCCTGCGGCTCCTGCCGGCGCCGGCCGCGTGAGGAGGAGGAGGAGGAGGAGGCGGGGGAGGCTGCTCCGCCCGGGAGCCGCGCCGCTGCTCGGAGGGTCGCAATGCAGTGCGGGGCGGGCGGCGGCGGCGGCGGCGGCGGGCAGACGGGGCTGCTGCGAGCGGCGTTACGGCGGGGCTCCGGCCGCGGCGGCGGCGACTAGCCGGGAGGCTGCGGACCGGCGGCGGCGCTGAGGGCACGAGCGAAGAGCGGAGAGCGGAGAGCGCGGCGGCTTCTCTCGGGCGGCGTTGCCGCCGCATCCTTTGAGCCCCCCCCCCCGGGAAAGGGCCTCGGACTCCCCGCCGGCGCCGCGGGACTTGGCCGCGCGGCAGGCGGCATTGGCGGCTTCGGTCTGAGGGGCGCCTAAGGGGCGCCGGGCGGACGCCATGAAGTTGCTGCTGCTGGCGCTGTTGCTGCTGCTACTCCGGCCGGGCGAGGCGGGCGCCCAGCCCTGCCCGCCGCCCTGCGCCTGCTCCGGCCCCAGCGTGGACTGCCACGGGCTGGCGCTGCGCAGCGTACCCCGGAACCTGCCCCGCCACGCCGAGCGGCTGTAAGTGGCTCCGGGGACCCGGGAGGGGCAAGGGGGGGGTTGGGCCGGAGCGCTCCTCTGAGGGAGCCGGGCGGGCGGGGAAGGGGCTGCTGCTGGCCCGGCCGCGCTCAGCGCTTGGTGCCGCTCGGGCGGGAGCATCGGCCGGCCGGTGCCCTCCGGGGCGGCTCTTTCATCCTCTCTTTCTCCCTCTCTCCCTCCCATCAGAGAGCAGGGTCTATTTTAACTCCCCCCCCGTCCCCTCAGCCGCCGAAGCGCCGCTGCCCCTTCCCTTGGGCGAGCGAAGCGCTCTGGGCGGCTGCTTCCCTCGGGCTGAATTCCGGACTCGGCCAACCTTCCGGGGCTCTCAACCTGAGCCCTCCTGCCCGCTGCGGCGCATCTCGGGGCTCCCCGGAGGGATCCGGTTGGGAGCCCCGGAAGCATCAGCGCCCCCCCCCCCCCCGCTTGCCCGCCCCCCCCCGCCCCCTCCGTCGCCCCTCGTCTGACCGACCGACCGACCGAAGCCCCGCAGGTTGATGCTGCTGCGGTGGCAGGTCAGGTGAGCGGGCGCGGAGTCCTCTATCCTTCTCTGGATCTTCCCTTCTCCTCTTGGTTGAAGGGACACCTTCCGATAGATAGATAGATAGATTAGATAGATTAGATAGATTAGATAGATAGATAGATAGATAGATAGATAGATAGATAGATAGATAGATAGATA